CGTTGGCACCTCTTTCTATTTTTGATCCGACCCATGAAAGAGGAATTCTATGCGTCCAAAACGCCGTGTGGACAGGTATTGAAAAAAAATTTGGTAATATGAATTCAAAATGGCAAATTGCCCTGTGACCGGTTTTGGCAAATTAAACTAAAAATGGTAAATTGCATTACTGAAATATGATGGCCCTTCCCTCAAAAATGATCGAATTATTTTTGAACACTGAAGGTTAAAAGTTGTTAGTCCAATTTCAGAATAGGGAAATGGGTAAGAACCACACCTTTCTTGATATGAAGCTGTGGTTGTCATATAATGTGCCCAGTGAGCCACATTTGGTAAGCATAACTGGCGCTGTGGAATGAACCAAACGTAATGTTTCGGTGCCCAAATTGACAATTCTTCTTATTTTTTTTTTCTCTTCAGGCCCATCGATGCCCATCCAAGCATGGTACCGTAATAATAAAACAAAAATGTTCTCTCTTTCGCAAAGTACCATAGACCCCCGCTATCAAGTTTTGAACACATATGGTCGGGTCCTCCTAACTTGGCCTGTGAACCTTACGGTCATACATTCGTGTTATTTATTTAGAACAGAAACCAAAAATGAAACATAAAAACTCTACAAACTGAACAAAAAAATTATCACCATTGTTTTGTTGTTTTGTGTAAATATATATTTTTCTGTTTTTTTTTTTATATTTTTATTTTAAAATTAGAAAAAAATACATATGTTTGTATGTATATAATATTTCACAAATTATAATCATGGAAAGCTTAAATGTATGTTTTTTATTAAATAAAAAGAAAAATAAATGTACATAATTAAAAAAAAAACATTTTATTTTCAATAATAATTTCTTTGTTGGTTTAATTTTTTATTAATTTCTTAATGTATTTTGTTTTTTAAAAAATTTGTCATCAATAATTGTATAAATTATAGAAAATATGAATTTGGTTGTTTGTTGTTTTAAAAGTTAACTTAGATTTTGGGTCGCCATTATGATGTCTAGCTAATAATGTCAATACTGAGACTAAATATAATGATACTGAAGGCCCGAAACATGCGGCCTCTATCATCCTTTGAGATTATTTAAATAATCCTATTAAAATAGAACGGAAAGATCGTATTTGAAATCATAATTAGAGTTATTTTAAGTTTTTGTTGTTTGTTTTTCAATTTAAGTACATACTATTTTATTGCAAGGTGAATAGAATCGAGATTCGAAAACAATTATAGTTTTTAGTTTTCTTATCGAAATCATAAAGCATTCAGGGGTCAATATAGAAATGGCAATATCTTTTTTCAACACTAATATAAAATATTTCATAAAATTCGTTAGTATAATATTTTACAATTCTCATATATCAAATCGTAAAAAATTATAAAAAAAAATTTCAAAATCTTTATTGAATAATCCTTATTGATTAAAATCTAAATTTTTATCTTTATTGAATAATCCTTATTGAAAGACACACCAGTAGGAACAAAATATTAAAATTTTAACAAATAAATTATTAATTTTAAAAATATTTAACAAAAATTATTATTGATTGCTTATGTTTGGAGTATTCCTTCATTGGCTAAACTTCATGTTAGTTAGTTTTTCAAAACGAAACTAAAAAAATATTATTTTTTTATCATTTTATAAGAAAGTATAGAGTTTCAAAGCAAATCGAAATACAATAAATTTTAAATAAGACACATATATAAAAGAGGTTTAGATTTTGTTGTCCGAACTTGTCGTGGTAATTGGTGCTTTCAGAAATTTTATTAAAATTGTATGCAGATGTTGTTTCCAATGTTAAATGAATTCAAATTTACTATATGTCCTTCAAAACAGTGGACAAATAATTATTGAGAAATGGAGTTCAAAGATACTTAGCGATGCTGAGTGATGTTACACGATGTTCTTGTTGATGCAATTATGGAAATTGAGATTTACAGCTGGTCAGAGAAATTGTTTTAATGATCAAGTGACTCGGCCCTGGTGCAATAAAATTTTTGACTATCGTTATCAGAAGTGATTATATAAGACAAGAGCCTTTTAATTGATATGTCAGGTGCCTGGCCATCAGGCGGAGCTAGGAAACTATAAATAAGGAGCTAGAAAACTATAAAATATTCCCTATTATTAGCTTTAATTTTTCTGTGGAAAATTTGTATATAAAAAAAGTGATCTTTCAAGTTCCCATGACGGTACGATTGTTTCAAACATGGGTGGGCGATATTCAATTTGGGATGCGTATAGCAAAGTAAGATACAAATGATCAAGTGAATGAGTCCAGTGCAATACAAATTAAAATGATTCGTCGAGGAAGTGATAAAATTAGACAAGACGCTCATATCTGCTTTTCCGTGAGACTTTTTTAGAACTGTGATTTATCTTGCTTGCTTAGGAAGTATATTTCCATTAAGAGCTGATTGCATTAGGAAGCTACACAATTGTGAAATATTCCCTTCATCAACATTTACTTTCGGAAACTTGATAGAAATTTCATAAAAACTGGACTAGTGAGTGATACAAACACAAATTAAAATGATTCGTAGAGGAAGTGATAAAATCAGAAATGATCCTTATATCCGCTTTGCCATAAGGCTTTGGTGGAACAATAATTTATTTTGTTTGTTTAGGAAGCTATATATGCCGCATTAGGGTGCTACAAAATTGTGTAGACTATATTCCCTTCATCAACTTTCACTTTCGAAAACTTGATAGAAATGTCATATAAACTAGGCCATGTTTTTCAAAAAGAATGAGAGTAGAATAAGACGCTATTTTGAAAAAAGTCTCAAAAATTTTTATGAGGTGAAAATTATGTTACAATTTCCAAATCACTTGGAAGTGGTTTAAATGAACTCAGTATTTTACATAAAAATTAAATGGTCTATATGAACCCTTCCGGCATGACATTGTAAAAATGAAGCATTGCAAAGGACGAAAAACTTTAGTACTAAGATTAAAGAGCAGGGCCGGAGTTAATTGGTCTTGAGCATTTTCTGTTCTAAATGTTCACTTTTATGGAATTCTTCGCTTTCACCAACTCCCTTAATTGAACATTAAAATTTGGAATTTTTATTTTTCCATATTTTAATACTAAAAAAATTCAATGAGCTTCATAAAAAACTAATATCAAGCGCAGAAACAAAATATGTTAATTGTAATAACTAAACATTTTAAAATATATTTCAAAAATTACAATTTTAGACTTGAAATACATATACTGAATACGTATAGGACACGAAAAGTTTTAATTTAGAGCACATTAAAATACAAAGAAATGAAATAAACGTATTTCTGAAAAAGGCCCATGTTTTATATCACAAAATTGTGTCAGCTCTGTTTGGAACAGGGCGAAAAGTTGCAAAAACCACCGACTAGATAATTCGAAACACGAGGCTAATCCACACCCTCTATGTTAGTCTTTTAAACCTTCAAATTTCGGCTTCCTGTAGTGCGATTCTCTAACCCATTTTTTGAGTTACCGACAGAAGTCAGTAAAAGTAAAAAGATTATAATTTCGGTAATTAATGAAATTTATCGGTAAGTTAACGACAAAATCAAAGTAGTCGCTAAGACCTACCGGAAGATATCAATCTTTTCAACCTTAGATTATTTTTTATATCAAATTATGGGTTTCAAAGTTACCGGTTTTTGTCGGTAACTCAAAGTATGTTTTAGAGAATTCCACTACTGTGCATTCAAAAGCAAATAGCAATAACAGGAATAAAATATGTTCATTTGAACAACAACACATTTAAAGAAATACATACATTTTTAAATTGAAATATATTGAATTAGTTTAGGTCTGGAAATGTTATAATTCAAAGCAAAATCAAACAAACTTCTAATAAAGCCTATATTTTATGAAGAACGAAGAAAAATTCTTCTTTTAAAAATTTTGACATATCAATGTTCCCAAGCGTTGATGCATCTACCTATATTCTTCTACCATGATCTGCATTATTAAACATGTACATTATTTCAAAAATAAGCATTGAATTGTCTTTTTCATTTTATTGATCTTTCCTGTTAATTTGTAATATGAGGAGCTTAGGAAAGGAAAAAATTCCGAACCAGTGAACATTTGGAATTAATTTAATTTCATATCCAAAGACAATTTTAAACTGATAAAAAGATTGGTTCCCTCGTATAGAAACTAAAAAGGTAAAGTAGAGCTACCAGCTGACTACATTTTTTTCTAAGTTTACCCGATTTCTGCCAATTTTATGTATGTTTTTATTGTTTAAAAAAATATATATATTTTCAAAATCAATGATTGAAGAAACTTAAATTGGGGGCGCGCATTAATGATATTAACCAGATTTACCATGGAATTGAAAGATTCAACACTTGGGATCATATTTTTGAGAGAACATCCAGGTATTTTATTCAGAGTAGTAGAGTTCCATGCTTGGAACTCTATTTAGAGTTAAAGTACAAAATATTTGTAAGAATATATAGTCTGTGTTTAAATCATAACAAGCCCTAAATCTGCTTTAATTAATTATATACCGCACCAAAGATACAAGCAGAGGACCTCAATACAAAAATTATAGGAATCAATATTTTTTAAATATGTTTACGTTAAATATCCCACATATTAGGTGCATTATTTGCTAAAGGGAAAGAGTATTTTTTTAAGTTTTCAAAATCTTTTCGTTTTGTTTATTATTGTTTGAAACCTGTTTATTGAACGTTTTTTTTTATTATTTACTAATATTCGGTGGCACTATATATTTAGTTGGATTTTTAGTTTTCTTAAATTTTAAAATAGTAACGAAAAAAAACTTGGTAAAAATTGCATATAAAATATTGAATACAGAAAAAAATCGGTAATATTCGGGTTATTGTAAATTATATTGTACAAAAAATGTTTGTATATAATACAATTAATGGATACTGTCAATTTGAAAAATTTAAAAAAAATCTTTATGTATGTCATGATGTTAATATTTCTACATATTTTTCTTTTTTAAATTTATGTGTTTTCTATTTATAAAATATTGGCAATGGAATGTTGTTGTAATGAAAATTAGAGTGGATTTTGTTTTTTGTTATTTTGATTTAAGTATAAATTTTCTACTCTTGGCTAACTTTTAAAACAACAAACTTGGGCTTTTTTTCTTCCGTGTTTGCGGTTTGCGTTTTACTCTTTTTTATTTTTGTTTTTTTTTTTTGTATTTGTTTGTTTCTTATTTTAAGTTTTGTTTTTTTATCAGTATATATAAGAAAATATAATAAAATTAACTTATATTTTGCATAACTATTTTATAGAAAAATAATCTAAATAGTATTATATTAATTAAAAAACCCCAAAATAATGTTTGTAATTTTAATAATAATGTTTTAATGGAAAATAGAATAAAAATAAAACTGAAATAAACAACTCAACATTATTGAGTTAGAAATATACAAAAAGTAGTTTGGAGCCAGTTACACTAGGGCCTCTTGGTGTCTGTTCCAGGGAAGGCGTTTCGTTGCTCAATTCGTAAGACTATTTGGTCACATAGCTCTTCAAAATCTCTAATAACATTTAAAGTTGTGACGTCATAAATTTAGATACAAAAGATTTATAAAAGTGGTCAAATGGTTTTCGACTTATGTATATCGGATTATAATGTTCAAAACTTTGTATAGGAGACAAATATTTACACTTCCTATACGTATGTTTATGTAAATGTCTTTGTATACAATAAAATACTTTTATGTGGTCCAATAGCTTCACAAAGGGAAGTAACGAAAATTGCCTTGACTGAACAGGACTTACAAGGACAAATTGATTTTATTGATTCAATTTGTTATAGTAGCACTACACAGGACTACAGGGTGAATTTGCTAACTATCAATATTGTATATCAATCTGGTATTACCTAAAATTTGCATTTTGAAATCTCATGAAACTTTGTTAACAAAAAGCAAAGTAAAAAAATGTAAATTTAACGACATTTTGATATACCTTTTTAAGATCTTACCAGATCGCCATATAATATTGATAATAATCCATGAACTTTGTAGTCCCGTTACTAAAATTTCTGACTCAGTGCCTGTTTTGGTATGACGAATGCGAAAGAAATACACCATTTCAAATAATATGTCTTTCGAATTTTGAATTTTACTCCAAAAAAATTCGAATTCATTTGAAATTATGTGTTTCCCTCGAATTCATTTTCGCATCGTCCGTCATACAAAACAAAGACCAAATTTTGCAAACTTTTTGCCTAACTCAATATCAACAACAAAGCAACAATTTTTCTTACTCGATTAATTTCAATTTTTTTTTCTTTGTGGCATTCATTTTTCAATTTCAAAATTTGATTTTCTGTTTTTTGTTTTTCATTTTTGCAAATGTAAATGTAGATGTATGCGGGTGTGTGTGTGTGTGTGATTAAATATATGTATATGTAAGTTTGTTTTAATATGTCTATTGCAAAATGTCTTGTATATTAAAATTATCATTATCTAGTGAATTGATTAAATCTTGTGTTGAGAAATTACCACCATCAACGGGTAAATTATCTAAAAATTCGAGACACAAATCATTCGAGTTGCCAACCACCGAATTGATGCCTTGATTCATGCTATTGGCACTGTTCGCTGTGGCCACGACGCTGGAGACGGATGATACTGTGGCAGATGTTGAGGAGAGTACATTGTTGCCGTTGCCACCGGGACCGAGGCCGGGTCCGTTGGGACCACCCGGTACGCCGCCGCCGCCACCAGCACCCGATGGACCAACACCGCCACCTTGTGACATTTGTAGCATTTGCTGTTGTTGGTGTGTGGCGGTGGCGGTTTGTTGGACAAATTGTTGTTGTTGTTGCATGCTAATTTGGGTTTGTGACATATGCATGCTGGTCATTTGCATTTGTGTCATCATGCCACCGCCAGGACCACCGGGACCGCCTTGTTGCTGCATGGACTGTTGTTGCATCATTTGTTGCATTTGCATGGCATTGGGGCCGCCGCCCATCATTTGTTGGTTTTGCATTTGTTGTTGACGCATCATTTGCTGTTGCATTTGAGCGGGTGTTAGCTGCATGCCAGGGTTGGGACCACCCATGCCGACAGCACCACCATTGGGACCATTAGGCATGCCGGGACCACCGCCTCCGCTGCCCATGAATCCTAAAAACAAAACAAAATTTAATTCAGTTTTGTAACGCAAATCTTAGTTCCATGTAACTTACCACCATTGAAACCTCCCGCTCCCTGTCTCATTGGACCACCGGGTCCAGAAAAGCCCATCTGCTGCTGTTGCATCATCATGTGACGCCATTCTTGTTGTGAGCCCACAGGCATGCCATCGGGAGATACTTGAACATTAGGCGGTCTTTGGGGACCACCAGGACCCATTGGTCCACCATAGGGACCCATGGCAGAGCGTGGTCCTCCAGCGGAATGTTGCATGTACATAGAGTGTTGGGGACGCATCATGGGACCTAAAAAAAAAAAACAGGAAAGTCAAATAATTATCGAAATTCGAAGTGAACTAAATTAGGTGACGGGTGAAGTGATAGAGCTAAAACCGTGAAAATTTATAGCGCGATTACTGTTGGTGTCTAGGAGTGAGATATGGAACGGTTTGGTAAATAAGTACTACAATTATAAAAAGTACTAAATGTTACTAAATTGGGTATTGGGTGAAGGGATAAGGCTGGAATCCTCAAATTTTGATATTGAGGTCTCTGTGGGTATCCGGAATCGGGGCCCTTGTTAGTCTAAAAATTTTCTCCCTTTGATTCTTTCCCCATGTTCATTTTCTGAATCTATCTAAAATTTAACGGAAGGCCCCGTTGGTGAGCCACAGTATTTGATATTTTCATTTTTTATGAAAACTAAATATAAAACCGGACTGAATTTTGAATATAAATCTAAGCTACTCATTAAAATCGGAATAAATTAAAAACCAATTCTTCAAATTTAAAATTTTAGAATACAATATTTACCTGATGGCGGTATCGGCTGTTGGGTCATTCGTCGCATTGCCGCCGCCTGCGCTGCTGCATTGGGGAAACGTCCACCACCGCCCACCGTCTGCTGCATCATCTGGGCCTGCATTAGCTGCGCCTGTGTGGCCTTGTATTCCGGTGGTGGGGGTCGAGAACCAATGCCATGCTGTTGCATGACTTGAGCACGCATCATTTCTTGTTGCTGACGGAATTTAGCTTGATTCATGTTCATGGGTGGCCCATTGGGACCGCCGGGACACATCATCATGGCTGGATTGGGTCCAGCATTGGGATTCATACCTCCGGCCGACATCATTTGATTGGGACCACCACCACCGCCCATGCCGCCCGGCCCCATGCCACCCATAGGACCATTGGGTCCACCCATAACGGGAACATTTGGACCGGGTACATTGGGACCATTGCCACCTGGTCCTCCCATTGAGTTCATGGGTCCGCTATTGGGCCCTGGACCCACATTTGGACCACCACCAGGGACTTGAGGATTGTTCATAAGGCCTGGTCCAACATTGGGACCACCATTCGGTCCCGTCGCCGACACATTTGGACCTGGCCCATTATTGCCCGGACCTGCTGCTGCTGGATTTTGGTTTTGATTTTGACGCTGTCTCATGTTTGGTGGCACCTGTTGTTGTTGCTGGGGTCCTCCGCCAGCTGCTGCGGGATTTTGTGATTGTTGTTGGGAGAAATTCATGGACTGTGTTTGTGACATGCTAAAGCCACCATCGGAAGCACCTGCAAGAGAGAGTGAAACACATTCATTTGCAATCTTTTTTTTTTGCCAATAACGGCAGTTAATTGAATTATTTCCGAGCGTTATGGCCCAGCACTCTAATCCAATTTGATACTGAGTTGAGTGTTAATTTGATGGCACTTACCGTTATTATTGTTCATATTTTGATTTGGTTGTTGTTGCTGCTGCTGCTGTTGTTGCTGTTGAGGTTGCTGTTGGCCATTGGGACCACCGGCATTGCTGCCAGGCGTTTGTTGTTGCTGAGTATTTTGAGTATTTTGTTGCTGCTGTTGTTGTTGTTGCTGCTGCTGCTGTTGATTGAAGAACACTCCCTGCTGCGTAGCCACCGACACATTACTTTTCATATCACCGCTGAGATGTAAATGTTGTCCAGCCGAGACCTAAATGGCAGCAGAAAAAACGGGAAACACAAACACATGGAAAAATGTTAAATTCTCGTTGAAAATGACTTAATTAAGATAATGGTTAAAAAACGGTGTGTGTGTAAGTGTGTTTTATAAATTACATTGTAATTGTGTTTGTTGTTGGGGGTTTTCTCTCGCTCTCCATCTCTCCCTCTCTCTCAATCTATGTTAAGAGCAACCCCCCATGATGGCATAGTTAATGGACATATGCTGTTAATTCAATATTTAAAGCAATAATAAAGCATATTTTTAGGGTTTATACGAAAAGTTGATATTAGAACTTTAAATAGATTAAAAATAAACCTATACAATCCATTAACAATGGATGAGAAAATAAGCAACATCTCTTTAAATCAAGGGCATAAATTAGATAATGAATTTCCGATTAAGTTGGACTTAGAGCTTTGGAAAAACATAAAAAGTAATACGAAAATATATGAATTTTGAAATAAATTTTTAAATGACATATCCACTTAATTTTCCATAAATATTTATTAGCATAAATAATTTACTAATCTTTCATTTAATGCCTATCAATCAATCTTTTATTGCTTCATGTGATAAACCGAACAATGTGAGGCCATAAAAGAATACATAGAGGGTGAGATGAAAAAACTGCAACCAACTTCAAACTGCTGTCATTTCTAAGCCACTCATTCGATAGCTGTTAAAATTATTCCAGTGACAGCTCATTATATTATTTACGAGCGTACAAAAGCATGTTTGTGAGAATTTTCCAGAAAAAAAGTTAATCATGGTGGAATTCAAGCGTGATAGTGTGATTTCTTTACATTTCGCAGGAAAACCACAAGTGGCTATCGTTAGAGCACTCCAGAATTTAAATGTGAATAAATATTTTGTGGCTCGTACCATCGCTCGTTACCGTGATACTGGTAGCGTAGCCCAACGTCAAGGAAGGGGACGGAAGAAAACAGCAACATCAGCAGAAATGGTTCGAAAAGTAAAGAAGCGACTTAATCGAAACTCGCGTCGCAGTGGCCGAAAAATGTCTCATGAGCTGAACATATCGCAATATTCCATTCGGCAAATATTAAAACATGAGCTCGGGGTAAAGCCATTGAAATTCCAAAAAGTGCAAGAACTTACACCGCAACAGAAAGAAAATAGACTCAAAAGAGCTAAAGAGCTGCTTCGCTTCACCGAAAGTGGTGAACTGCCGAATATGGTTTTTTTTTCCGATGAGAAAACATTCGTTGTCCAGCAGTTTGTGACAGCCGATGGTCGCTCTCCGCTCGTATTAATCGACCGTGGAATCAGAATAAATGCTGAATATTATCACGAAAATATTCTGGAGGGTGTATCAAAGCCATGGGCATACAAACATTTTGGCTGCAGACCTTGGACATTCCAACAGGACTCAGCACCATCGCACTCAGCACGCGCCACCCAAGAATGGTTACAAATTGAGGATCCTCGCTTCATTTGCAGCGCACAATGGCCACCAAAATCTCCAGATACCAATTCGTTGGACTATTGTGTTTGGAGTATTTTGGAAAGCAAGGTTGGCACAAAAAATACCAAAGTGTCGATCACCTCAAGCCAGAGCTTCGACGGGAATAGGTCTAAATCCCGCAGAGAAACATTGAGGCAGCATGTGATGGTTTCATTGGTTTGAAGGCCATAATTCGCGCCAAAGGTGACCAATTCGAACAAATCTAAACTTATTCTAAAATTTGATGCTATTTCCGAAAATTTTTGCTTTCATTCAATAAAATTAGAAAAAAAAAAAAACGTAACAATTATGGCGTTTGAATTTGTTGCTTTTTTATCTCACCCTGTATTGTATTTTAGTTAATAATAAAAAAAGCAATAATTTCAATATTTTTCTTATTTTCCCATAAGTTTTTGCCCTCCTTAATGCTAGGCAATTGTATGGCTTTACATGTTAAGCCTTAACATATTCATTTGTATTCGCAGTTTTACTTTCACACACACACATGGAAACACTTACGCAAAAGTATGCAATAAAATAATCTTGTTAACGCTATCAAATTGTACAAAGCACTTTAAGTATGGTATAACCATAATTTGCTTTCAAATAGCAATAACAACTACAACTACTTAGGCATAAATATGTGTTATTAAATAATTGGTAAATATGTGAGTAGTCAACTTCTGCCTGAAATTATGCATGACGACATAAGTTGCCTGTCAAACTCTAGATTAGCTGAATGAAATTTTCAAAATCTTTATTACACTAGTTACGATTTTATGTTGTCTATTTTGGATTAAAGCCAGTTGGAAATGAAATTTATCTACAATTGTTGCAAATAAATGAAATTGTACATGTGTATGTATGTGTGTGTGTTTGTGTGTCGACGTGCTTCCGCCTGTGTCAAGAGACATGGGGGGGATAATGAATTGCATGTGTGTGAATAAATAACTTTAAATTGTAATGTAAATGAATTTTGGCAAAATATTCATTTGTATGACATCCTAAAATTATGCTAATTTATTTTTCAACAAAATTTTTAATTATTCAATACTTTGGAGAGTGAGCAATGTGAGATGGAAATAGACAATTTATTATAAGATTCAGACTTAATAAAATGGTGTAATAAAAGTTTTTGGTAGGATGTTAGATACATAAAAGTTCTGATTAATTCTTCTATGGAAGCTTCTCCACTAGATTTGAAATATTATATGTGTGATTGCAAACAACAAAAACTTGCAAATTACTATTGCATACATTTGGGCGTCCACAATAATTAATAGAATATGTACCGGCTACTTCGTCAGCGAAAAATCCACCTTAAAGCTTTCGATTCGTTTTAACACTTCGAGTTAGGCCCTGTTAGTGCTAAAAATGCAGAATTAAGTGAGCCAAAATATTGTAATCAAAATGTCACACATTCTACTAAATTTTCAGACTTTCAAGGTTTATGTATCCTTTTTCGAAAAGAATAATAGAAAAAGGTTTACTTTTCACACCAAAAAGTCTTCAAAATCTTTTTAAGTTTACCGGGGAGGATATTAGTAAAACCATTGCACAATGGATGCCCACAAAATTTTTTATCCAAAACCAATTAAACGTCCCCATATGTGAACCCTAGAAACTAACAGCCATCTCAATATCAAATTTTAGAATTTCAGTTCATCCCTTAACCCAATACCAAATTTAGTAACATTTATTACGCATATCTGAAACAATCTACATTCCTCTCCTCGACATCAACAGTAGTCCAAAGCTAATATCATTTTGCACTTTTCGTAAAATCATGGTACATATTTCTAAAACCACCTCCAGATCTCAATACCAGATACCAACGTAGACCTCAATTTCAAAATTCGGGATTCCAGTTCTATCCCTTCACCCAATACCCAATTTAGTACTATTTAGTACTTTTGTACAATTATAGTACGCACTTGTAAAACCACAATAGATCTCAACACCAGATACCAACAGAGACCTCAATATCGAATTCCGGGATTCCAGCTTTATCCCTTCACCCAACACCCAATACAGTACCACTTAGTACTTATCGTACAATCATAGCAAATATTTCCAAAACCACCTCCAGATCTGAATTCCAACAGAAACCTCAATATTAAATTTGAGGTTTCCAGCACTATCCCTTAACCCATTACTGAATTTAGTACCATTTAGTACTTTTTCGTACAAATATAAGACGCATTTGCAAACCGCCTTCAAATCTCAAACACATATACCAACAGTACTGTAAATATCAATATTTCAGAATTTTTATCTCTATCCCTTCAACCAAGACCAAATTTAGTACCATTTAGTAGTTTTCGTACAATTATAATACATACTTCTAAAACCACATCCATATGCCAAGACTACAAATGAACAGGGACCTTAATATCAATTTTCAAGCACTATATGTTCACCCAATACCAAATTGTACCAAAAATTGTACTATTTATTACTTTTCGTGCACTCGCAGTACACATTTCCAAAAACACATCTTTATCACAAGCCTATCGCCAACAGGGACTCCAATTCAAAATTCCAATTTCATCCCTTCACCCTAATCCAAAGTCTTCCAAATTTTAGTACCATTTAGTACAGTCCGCACACTTGTAGTACACATTTCCGTAAACCACCTTCATATATCAAACTTACTTTCCAACCTGGATTCTCATACCAAATTTCAATTTCTATTCGTTCACATAACACCAAAATGGTACCATTTTAGAACTTTTGAACTTAACGTTTGAGTTTGAATTTCCGAAATCCCTTTGGTACATCTATCCTGTACTATCCTGTATCCACATCGGTGACACTTATTTAAAATTTCAGAATTCTAGCTCATTCCCTTTGTTTAATAAACATTACTACACTTTTTTACATTTTAGAATTTTTCATTTAGTATTTAGTACAGATCACACACTTGGTACACATTTCGACAAATCACCTTCATATATCAAACTTACTTTCAAATCTTGATTATCATAACAAATTTCAAGTTTTTAGCTCTATTCGTTCGCATAATACCAAAATGGTACCATTTTAGAAATTTAGTACCTTTTTAAATTTTTTCGTAACATTAGAGTTTGAATTTCTGGAAATCTTTTTGGTACATCTATCCCATACCACATCGGCGATACTTATGTAAAATTTCTGAATTCCATTGTTTAATACAAAGTATTACATTTTTTATACATTCTAGTATTTTTCATTCAGTATTTAGTACAGTTTGCACACTTGTTACACAATTCCGAAAACCACCTCCATATATCAAACTTACTTTCGTACCAAATTTCTAGTTGTTAGCTCTATTCGTTCACATAATACCAAAATGGTACCATTTTAGAAATTTAGTAACGTTAGAGTTTGAATTTACGGAAACCCTTTGGTACATCTATCCTGTACCACATCGGTGACTCTTATTTAAAATTTCTGAATTCTGGCTCATTTCCCTTGTTTAATACACATTTTGACATTTTTGGTACATTTTCGTATTTTTCATTCAGTACACAGTACTTGATAC